CCCCCCGGCCCCCACGCGCCCGGAGGAGTCGCGGCTGGATGCAGCGCAGCTGTTGCGCAACCACACTGCCTTGCGCACTTACACTACATGCACACACAAGGTCTTAAAAGAGAGGACCGGGACCCCACAGAGGCTGTTTCTTTACGGACTGAATAGACTGGCGTTGGCGGGGAAGCCGCCTCCTCTCCCTTCATGTAAATACACAGACTTTTAATTATGGTTTCATTTTTGTAACCAGAGAGGCATTGCTAGTTGTGTGATCCCATTCCAGAGGCAAGCGTTCTTGGACTGCTGTTTGCTTCTGGAGGAATGTATGGATCCATGTGAAAAAAAGAAAGAAAAAGAAACAAGGGATGTGAAGACGAGGACTAATAGGAGAAAGACAGAGCGCAGACTAACAAAGGAGAGGAACGGGAGGAGAAGACATATAGGAAACACTCTCCTCTCTATTTTGTAATATTGATGCATTTCTTTTTCAGTTCTCTTGATAAACCTTCCCGAATATTCTGGAGAGAAATACACAGTATAATGTATAGTGCTGGGTATGTTTGTAAATATATTCAAATATGTATAAATATATATTATATATTTACAATGAATTATTTTTTGTATGGAATATGAAATAACCCCATCCCTTTAGACCCTACCATGTGTTTAAGACAGGAATAGTAACAGGTTAGATGTACTTTATTTCTCTAAACACGCACACACACACACGTGACCACACACTTTCACACACACACAAATACCTGTTTTACTCTCATTTAGTAACACAGATGAGTATTGGCTTTCAGGGACTGAGGTAGCATGTTAATTTATTGACTTATTTGTTTTTGAAATTATTCAAAAAGTTTTGGTAAAAAAAATGAACAAAAACATAAGTGATCACATTAATGTCGCTGACGGTACATAATTAATCCATTAAATTTATAGTAATTTAAAATGACTTTCAGCAGTAACCGAAAAGAAGCTATTTTTTGTAGGTTTTATTTGAAAGCTCCAGGTTTTGTAATTTTTATATATGAACTTGAATTTAAGTTAAATTTATAAAAAAAAAGTGTACATTTTTATAGTCAGCTAATCCCTTCCTTGTGTAGACTACGATGCCATATCCAGTCATTTTACTCTGTCTTAGCTTTGCTTTAGGAAACCAGGACGATCTCTGCACATTCATGTACGGTTAAAAAAAAAACATTTTTGGGGAAAAAAACCTACAAACAATCCGCTCCCTCATTTAGACTTAAATATAGACTCCAAATTAACACACAGAATTGAAAGCTGAAAAACAAAGTATTAAATCATTCAAGTGTTTGTTTTTTTTTCTACTGGACCAACTTTAAAATGTTTTTGCAAGTGTTTATGGCACATTTGCGAAATAAATGACAAATGAATGAAAAGGAAAAAAAATCTCATCTTTCTCTTTTCTTTTTTTTTGTCCTGAAGGGTTTTTTCTTCTCATGGAAGAATGCTTGTTATAATTAGACTGCACTTTCCTCTGAGCTAGATTTCTACTATTTGATATGGGTGGAGACGGTTCGACTATCGTTTCTTCACCCACTGCTTTTTAGGACAAAGTATTTGTTTGCACGGTTTGAGTGAGGAATTTTCCATCACGTTTGCAATTAATTGACATTTCAAAACGTGAACTAGACGGTCAGTTTGGGTTCAGACTTGTTGAGGCTGAAGGTATTGCTGTCGCATTGTTATGATATCACTTCGCTACATTTGGATGTTTACATGCCCAGATCAGATCGCGGTAACCGTCAAAGCAATTTCGTTAATGAACTGGGAACTCGTCATTGTCATGATAGCGTGGCCTTGTGTGATGAGACAAAGAGTCTTTGTTCGTCTGCTGGCAGACTAAGAGGCGCTCTGATGAGGTGATTGATCTCCCTTTCTTCTTCTATCACCACAGAATTAATTCACACAGTGAGCGCCTGATTTATCTGATTTAATGTTAGTCCATTAGCATTGGTGATTTATACTGGCAGCCGTTAATGTGTTTATTTTCTCAGTAAAGGTGGAAGATGGGGCAGCATTGATAACAGCACCCACATGTTGTGACAATACACTGAGCTCTTAAAGCAGGTGTGGGAAATGTTTAATTAACTCTTGATGAAAGAGATCAATAAATAAAGCTTAAGGTAATGGCTCCACTCTGACATCGCTGTTTATGGAAACACTTTTTGCTCATTTACAGAAAAGATTGTTTCACCAAGAAGGCAAATAGAATAAAGATCTAATATCTTAAATTACTGAAACCTCTGCTTCCCAGTCAAAAAAAAAAAACTTTGTGTTATGTTAAAGCTAATTCTATCATTTAAAAATGAGACAAAGTAAGACGTTAAAGGTCATTAAATGCAACATTCCTCAACTGACAGGTTAAATGGTAAAAAGCGTGGATAATTCCCAACTTCAAACCGTGCTTGTTAACTAAATAAAAGAGTTAGCATCGACCACTGCTTGCTAGTTTTTATTTTATTATTTTAGAACAGTGTGAGTTTAAAGTTTGGTCTTTTTTTTTTTAAATGATTAAAGAACTTAGATTGTATTAGATTTCGATTTTTTACTTTGGCTGTGGCTGCTATTCAAGCCTACAAATTTTGTGGAGCCCTACTGTAGCGGTTATCATACCTGCTTTACACAGAGAAGGTTTGAGCCTCAGAGAAACTTCATATGTAATGGCGCCTCCTGTGGCAGCCTGTATGGGTTACAAAGACACACACAGTTAATTTCCCCATTGAGAGATGAATAAGGGACTGACATATCCATCATCACTCAACACACTAAAAAGACTGCTTCCACTGGAAGACGGGAAATACAATTATACATTACTGCAATTACTCCAATGTGGGACACACAAAGGAAATATTGACATTGAAACTAATTCGCCTCCTAAATAAAATGTGTTTCTACACAATATGGTGCTACAGTACGCTACGCTCTGGCAAAAGCTGGTGATGAAAGTCCAAGTGTTTAATGTTCTTTAACATAAATCTGGATCCCTGCTTTACCAGGCTTCAACTTGTTCTGAATAAACATACAGTCTTCCTGCCATAGACGTGTCCCCTCATGTCTCCGGAACCTGAAAAGAGCTTGGAGGGAATAGTCACTTAGGAAACATTCCTTTTTTTCCATAGAATAAGAGGGAAGAAAACAGCTACAGCCCCGGAGAATTGGGGAGGGGTGGGCAGAGAATTGGGGTGAGGGGGTGGGGGGGCAGCCGGATATCCACTCTGACTATTGCACACTTTTATCAGAACTGTCTATTGTGTGTTAGCACACACACATACACACACACACACACACACACCACCATGTCGGTGCATTTGGTGAGAAAAACAGTGTGTCACGCCGCTAATGAGAAACAGTGGACGTTAAAGCTGAGAGATTCATTTCTGGTTATATCTTTATAATGATGCAGCGCTAACCAAATGACCAGGTTAACCCGTGACCTTGACCATTAGTCATTTTAATTAGTTGGATTCAAAACACACAAGTCTGGGTTAAATTTAAACTAATTTAATTTAAATTTCATTTCCACCCTTAAATCACTGTTTAAAATAATTATCATGCTGCTTTTCTCAAGGTTGTTACTCAAGGCTAAAACTAAAAATCAAAATTTCGCACAATTAAAATATAAACTTTTAATCTGTGTTAAATGCTTAACAATACAATATAGGCAGCTATAAAGCAGAAACCAGAACATTTGTCTTCTCTTTCTTAAATATGGAGGTAACCTATGTTCAGAATTTATAATTTTTTTACATCATTTTTTACATTTAAAATAATATAATTTTATTGTCTCTTTTTATTGTACAGTCTGTTCAAACTCTGTCCTTTTGCTGCAGTAGTATTTCCATTTTCTCCTAGCGGGGGGGTCAATAAAGTTTAATCTAATCTAATCTAATATAATTTGTGGTTTGGATGTCTGCTTTGTTTGTATTTATGTTCATAAGCAAATGTTTTTATTACAACTGGTGATGTAAAAATATATAACATATATGTCCTCTCACAAATATCTCATCCTTAAGAACACATGGAGCCGTGAAACTTTCTTCCTCTTCTCTGACAAACACTCAGTGAAAGCCTTAAATGAGTTTTTCATTTGGAAGGATTTTGGAGATTAACCCAGTGACCTTTACGTATTAGCTCTGAATGACTTCAGGGTTACGGCAGATGCTGGAGGACACGGCAAGAACAAAGTCAGTGACAGGGCCGACTTTGAATGTTTAATGCAAATGTCAAATGCATTTTACTCAAGTCAGATTTGACAGACAACACATTTAACTTGTCTGCATTTGCCGGCATTATATTCTGATCATCCACCAGCGTGATTTAGATTCTCTGATTTTTCCCGTTCTTAGTCCGCCTCTGTGTCCTTCGTCCTTGCTTGTCCTTCCTCGCCAAGCCATCTGGTGGGGCCTGGTGTTGTTTGCACAAGGCTCGGTCCTCTGGAATGTCAACATGAAGTTTTTTTTGTAAAACTGGAGGAGCCCACATCCACTGGAGATAAGACCCTAGTAACCCCAAGGGAGGAGGAGGGGTTGTTAAGAGGGGGAAGCTGGAAGGTGGCTTGAATTTTAACAAAGCTGCCAAGTTAGCAGAGAGTAACCTTGGATATTACTCACTGCTCTGTCACTGAAAGCCAGATTGGACTCATAAAGTCAGACTGGCGAAAGCTCTCATGACGAGGTCAAAAGGTCAAATGTCTTTTTTGCCTTTTATTTTATTTTTGGTGGGGAGATGAGGTCGGACTGTGTACCTGCCGAGGCTGCTCTTGTCCGTCTACCATTTGCACCGAGTAGCAGATAATGAATGGTTCATCACTAGGTCAGTGTTCACCAGAGGGAGGGGACGGCTGGTGTTTAGTTAAGGCCACGCAGGGCACTGCGTCTGTATCTGCATGGAAGAATAAACATGTCGAGTGTGTGTTTGCATTTGCGACTGTTTTGCCTGCGCCAGCGAAGATTAGTGGTGTTTGTTGCACAGTGGATCCTCATTTAGCCACGGCTCAATTGCATCTAAGCCATTGTAACTCACACATCACATTTGGAGTGAGTTCATATGCTGATGTGGTAATGTCTGATGGTCTGAGGTAACGGCTTCTGGGACGTAATCTGTTTAAAAAGAAGAAGTGAGTTGTTTGGAGGAAGATAACTTAAGAACAAATGTCCTCGGAGAGTTCAGAGTGATGCCATTGTTAGTTACAAGTCACAGGATAATGGACCTTGTTAAAAAGTGTGTTGTCAGCTTTAAGTAGGCCGTTTGTTCCAAATAAGGACGACCCACTGTATACAAAGACGTTAAAGCTGCACAATGCTGCTGCAGCCTCCTGTGTGTTTGTTACACTGGGCTAACATGACATGCTTTATAGCTCTGGGTGTGTTCGGTGTATGAGCTAGTCATAATGTTCCTAGCCTAGCGGTGCCAATCACAACACACACCTCATCAGTTAGCCCTACACCCGTGTGTCTTGTCGTGTAGCGATGATGTCACTGGTGACATAAACACCCATAAACTCTGACGCAGGCAAACAACGTTCTGTCAAACAAAAGTTTTTTCCTAAGGTGAGAACTTTTTCCCCAACAAGCAGCACAGATGCTATGGAAATTATAAATCCACATAAATAATTGGAGTAGTATGAAAACTATACACAACACTGTGATATAATATACTATATTGTATAGTACTATGTGATACTACACTAGAGCATGCTATGCTATACTACTGCAGCAAAAAGGAAGTGGTTCTGAATCGAGTTCACAGAGAATTCATAACGCATTATGAGCAGAACAGTTTGTTTTAATTTTTAGAACATACTAGTTAAATTGATCCTGAAATGTAAAATAATTGTTTTTGACACAACAGATGGTTGTTATATTCTGCTGTGTAAAAAATATGTTTTTAATAAAAAGAAAGTGAATTTCAGAAATTAAAATCAGTTTTTATTCATCTACTTTCCCTCATGTTCACTATGCAAAGCTGTATTGTGCAAGAACATCTGACTAAAATGAACTTTTGTCTGTACTTAATTTAAATTAAAAAAAAACAAAAACCACGCATGAGTACACATTATAAAGATATACTACAGTTCTTCTTTCTACCATGCCTGCCTGAACTGTAGACACATCAACACTGACAGGTATAATATGTCTGTTGTTTCGACTGGCCTCCATGTCAGGAGATAGACTGGATGGAGATATATGACAGTGTACATGCAGCACAGTGAACCACTCCAGCACTATTGCTGTCATGAGTAAACACAGGCCGAGGCCAATAAAAACAGGCTTGTAAAAAAAGGAGTGCCCATAAATGATGTTTAATTGAAACTGCTCAGGAGGGCAGTTCTTCACGGCAAAGACTTCTCTGCTCTGCACAAACACCAATGCCGGGAACAGAGAGCA